TTGCATCTGGTCTTTTTATTTTTTTGGGGGGGAGGGGGGCATTAACCTTGTTAGCTGTTCCTATTTATCAGCAATGAGCATATTTATGCTATGTTGCTAATACAGCACGTAGCACTACCCTCATTTAGTATCTTCTTTGTTTTGCTAACATTGTGTTTATTATTTATTTGTTTATCCAAATAGATTTCACTACACTTATTTCTATATATTACGATCTAGTTATCTAGCTAGTCAGTTGCAACGGTGTTGCATGCACTGCGCAGCTACTGCTTCGGGGGAGTATCTGCTTAACCCCCTACTGGGTTTCTGCCCTTATTTTGTCCATTTATTTATTTGTTAAATTTCACTCCCCTAATTTTTGTATATATTCCTCACTTAGCGTATTTAGATCTTGTCACATATTCTGCTCAAATTAACTATAATGGTGGCGGAAGTGACTAGTGATTAAGCATCTGTGCGTGTGTTTTTAGTTTAATTAATAAAGGATTTTATTGACCTTTTCTATGATAGTACTGGGACACATTACTCTTCTTCATTTATTTATTAATTACCCTAGCGTTACCCCCTTATCTGTTCCCCATTTCCTCTATTTGGATCTACACTGGGCCCCATGTTCCCTTTCACCAAGCAACCCCTCCTCCTCTCACCCAGAAACCCTTGTTCTCACACCCAGCCTTTGTCTCCCCCTTGTTACCCTCTCGCACCCAGCAGCTCCATGTATCCATCTAACACCCAGAAGCCTCGTCTCCCCCTCTCACACAGCAGCCTATGTACTCCTCTCACACCCTGTAGACCCATGTCCCCCTCTGTCAGACAGTACCCATTCCACATACTAGATCTCCCCCCCCCCAACTTCAATTCTCTCCCGCCTCACACATACATACCCTATTCCCACACATTACATTTGGGCTACCCTCAGGGACATTAAACCGATATCCCCACTTTTGAGAGGCATACATGTGATCGGTGATGACACAACATGCTCCATCTCGGGCAGTGGTCCTCTTGGGGCTGCTCTGCCTTCAAATGCTCGGGCTAAATTTTTATTCCATTCCAGCCCTGTATATAGGTATCACATAGAAATCATAGGTAGGTTGAGGGTCCCAGAGCTCTGTGTAAATACCCCCTCTATATAGGATTCCCAGGTAGGTTTCAAAGCTCTGTAGAAATATCCCTTATATAGGATTCTCAGGTAAGTTTCCAAGCTCTGTATAAATATCCCTTATTTAGGATTCTCAGGTAGGTTTTCAAGGTCTGTATTAATATCCCTTATATAGGATTCACAGGTAGGTTTCCAAGTTCTGAATACACGTCCCTTAAACAGAGCTATTAGGAAGGCCCCCAAATCCTGTAAATACATCCCTCAGGTGGTGTTGAAGCGATGTTACAAAGTGATATCTGTATTATGTCCCCAGTGTTTAAATAAAGTTTTAAAATAAAAAGTAGCTGAAATTCGCACCTTCTTTTGTGACATTGTGTTTGATACGAGGCTCTCTACTCTCTCTATGTGATGCTCAGGTTGTGCTCGCTTCCACCAAGGACACAGGTCAGGTTGTTGCCATTAAAATAATAAAGAAAGATAAAGTTGAGGCAAAGACCATTCAGAAGGAGAATCGAATACTGCAAATGGCGAGTGGCAGTTCGTTCCTGTGTCATGGACTTGCTTCCTTCCAGACCCCGGTATGAAACTCCGTGCCCATAATGTTTCCTTATTTCTAGATATGTCTATATGGCTGATTGTGTTCTGTTAATATTAATGCAGTATATATTAACTGGGAATGTGTTGTCTCTCTTGTGAAACAGAAGACCACCTCCCTGGTCATGGAGTACATACCAGGGGACAGTCTCCAATCCTATATGACTGGGAAGGAAAAACTGTCCATGGAGGACGCAAGGTGAGTCATTAATAGCTATAGCAGGTAATAATAATAATTTGAAATATTCTACCGTGTTATATGTTGTTTTAATATTATTGTTTTGGGCAGATTGCTTGATGTTCTTTCTATTCTTTTTTCCAGGTTCATTTCCGCAAACCTTGTCTGTGGGATCCAGTATCTCCATTCCCGAGGGATACTTCATAGGTCAGTATTAGCGTTTGTTGATTTAGAAAGCACTATCGTAGTCTAATGAGAAATAATGTGTTTATATCGCTGCTCTTTCCTTTATCTCACATTTATATCTGTCTTAATTATTTAGGGATCTGAAGCCAGCCAATATTCTCTTTGATGCCAAGGGCTATGTCAAAATAGCGGATTTTGGCCTCTCGGAAGAGAATATTTTTACGGATACAACCACCAACGGACGAGCTGGCACATTCAAGTACATGGCACCAGAGGTTAGTTAGAGGGTGTGGTTATGTAAGCTGTAGGGGGAGGAGTTAAGAGTAGCGGTATGAGAACACTATAGGTTTCATGAGCAGTAGAGAGCCGAGTATCGGTAGGGAGATTAGGGCACTATCAGAATAGCAGTGGGTGGACTGAGAGGAATGTGTTTAGGCTAGTTTTGGAATAAAATGATGGGGATAATATGAAAAGCTGTAAGATAGACTGCAATGGGTTTGATATGGAGTTTGAGAATATCACCAAGTAGAAATATAGTAATGATGTGTCCATTTAATACCACGTTTAATAAAATGACATGTCTCATGTGTTTTTCCAGGTACTAAGCTACAAAAAGTATGGCCATTCAGCAGACTGGTGGTCGTTTGGCGTCATTCTCTATCACATGATAACTGGGCATATTCCATTCAACACCAAGATCAGTAAGACGCATTTTATAAATGAAGTATTAAAAGCTAACCCAGGTTACCCAACCTGGCTGGGCAGTGATACTATAGACCTCCTGAGCAAGGTAAGGAACAGGCTGTGATAGGAGCAGATACACTGTAAGCTGGTAATAGAGATTGTGCCGGTTAATGTATTAATTGAATATAATGATAAAGGTTGTAAAGAAGACTGATAGAAGTTACTGGAGAAGATATGGGATATCGGTGGTAATAGATACTGGCTCTATTTATTGCAGTATGTACTAACCCGGTTATAGAACCAACTGTTAATAGTGAGAATAAAACACAGACATTTACTTTACAAAATGTAATCTTGTCTATTACTATCTACCTGCAACATACCGACAAATGGAGAAGCCATTTTCTGATTCTATTGGACTACACAAGAGGAAATCTTTATTCAAATATATTTATACTGACAGGAAAAATAAATAAAAAGAGGCAGCTTTGCTCAGGAGTAGGCACATCTAGTATTTTAATTGCAAATGTGCTTGCTGAATGACTTATCTGCTGTTTAGATATATATATCAAAGTGATGTACCTACTCCCTATTTTAATTACTATGTGATGCCAATTAATTGCCTCAATAAAATAAAAAAATATTTATAAAGAATTAGAGTTGCTGGTATGAGATTATTGCTAATGTAACAATTTACAACAAACTTTACACAAACACAGCCTTATCTGAGGTTTGATAGAAGGTTAAAATGGCTTCCTTCAACAGGGGTGATAACTTTTAGTTTGCGTTATAGATTATTACATTGTACATTAAAATGTTACAGTTCAGAGATATCACAAAGTAAGTGTTATACTCCGTGTATCCCCTCTCTCTCTCTTACTAGCTCCTGGATAAGGACCCTTGTGCACGCGTTGCGATGGGAAGGAACATTCGGGAGCACCCCTTCTTCAAAGACATTAATTGGGAAGATCTTGAGAGGGGTAAAGTGAGCTGTCCATTCCTGACATTGCTAGTAAGTGCACATAGAATCAGTATTTACAAACTGAGAAGGGATTATATAGAATAATAAATCCTTAATTATTATTATTATTATTATTATTAAAAAACGATTCCTTAATCCTCCATTAATCACATCCCAGCAGGGGTTCAACTAAAGAAGTACTGGATTAATTTCTCCCCACCGTTAATGTAACCATTAGAAACTGTAGATTGT